CTGCCTTTCCTCTCTTCCACTCACCAGTCGACCAGTGTGGTTGCCAGCAAGCTTACATGCCTGCTAATCTATTCCTTTTGAGTTTCAGTCTTGGAGGGGGTTTTGTCCTGAAGGGACCCGATTGCTTGCCTTGATGGCTTCCTGGAAAACAACTTGCTTATTCTTATAGTAACCAATCATGCTGCCATTTTTGTTTTGGGTTTGTCCTGCTGATCTTTCTTTGAAGATATATTGTCTGTTGCTCTAGCTGTTCCAGGATGGTCTGCTTGTCCTTTCTAGTGGAATGTCCCACATCGGAAGGTTCTGGATGAGGCTTAGGATTCCACTTAAGGTCCTATACACTGCAAAGGCTCTGCAAAAGGCCTATTTCACTGGGCAAGTTCTAGAACCCCTTTTAGGTATTCCAATCAGTTATAGGTTAAAGATGGGCTTGCAAACTTTCTGTAATCATGTTTCCCAGCATTCCTCCTTTCTATTCCACTCAAGTGTCTATTTTACAATAGTAGGCAAGGGAAACCAATATTCATAAGACAGGCATTTTAGCATTATTTCCCCTCTTTAGACTATATCTTGATCCTGTATCACAGAGCCCTGTTGTTCCAAGGTTAAGCATGCATCGCTATTTACTCTGTCCCATTTAGCCCATGCAAACCTGCCTCAGTGTTCCCTGTCTACCTTGTTCTTCCACCCCCTTCTTGTTTATTGCCCTCCACAGCACCTGAATGGATTCCTTTATTTTTTATTTGAGTCTTTAAATTTATCTCTGAGCACTGATTCAGTCTCATCCTACAAATCTATTTAAAAAGAATTTTCAGCTTAAAATAGCTTTTAATTTTCTGAGAGGATTTCCTTTTCGACTCATGGGCTAATTTGAAATATTTCAAAAATTCTCCAGGTAACTCTTTGTTAATTGTTTTCTACTATACTTTGGCTGTGACTTGAGCTCATACGTTCTATTGTATCTATTCTTTGGTAGTTGTGAAGATTTGTCTTATAGCTCAGAATGTGGTCTACTTTGATGGATGATTTTTCATGTGTATTTGATAAGAATAGGCGATCTACTGTTATTGAGTGGAGTAGGTCCTTGAGATTGGAGCTTTTGGTTATTACAGGTGCTAGCTGTTGTATTGGACCTACCAGGTAGTCTTGCCTATCAGTAGTATAAGCTTTTTCTCTCACCTGTTTTCCTACCCCTAACTGCTATGGGTTTTCAATCATTGCTTTATAATAACAGATTTTGTTGTTTTTACCTTTGCAGATTGACTTTTATTTCATAAATAGGGTTTTGGTTCCCAGTGAAATTTTTAAAATGGCTGCTCTTACCCAGCATATCTTGTTATTGTTGTTAGGTGCCATCGAGTCAGTACCAAGTCATAGTGACCTTATGCACAGCAGAACGAAACACTGCCCAATCCTGGGCCAATCTCATTATTGTTGCCACACTTGAGTCCATCGATGCTGCCACTTGGCCAATCCATCTCACTGGGGGTCTTCCTCTTTTTCACTGACCCTCCACCTACCAAACATGATCTCCTTCTCCAGCAACTGGTCCTTCCTGACAATATGTCTGAAGTATGAGAGACCAATTTTGGCCATCCTGGTCTCCAAGGAGCACTCTGGCTGCACTTCTTCCAACACCATAACTCAAATGCATCAGTTCTCCTATGGTCTTCCTATATTTACTGTCCAGGTTTTGCATGCATATGAGGTTATTGAAAATACCACGGTTTGGGTCAGGTGCACTTTAGTCCTCAAGCTGACATCTTTGCTCTTCAACACTTCAAAACTTTTTAAATTTTGAAGTTTTTCTTTCAAAACTTTTTAAGTTTTGAAGTTTTTCTTTCAAAACCTTTTTTGGTTTGGTGCAGCAGATTTGCCTAATGCACTACGTCGTTTGATTTCTTGACTGCTACTTCCGTGAGTGTTGAAAGTTGATCCAAGAAAAATGAAGTCCTTGACAACTTTCATCTTTTCTCCTAGCATATCCTAGGAATGAAATATTTGTGGAATTCTTCGTGATCTTTCATGTGAACTCCTAGTTTGGCTTATGGAGGGACATTTTGCAAGAGCTTTCAGACTTCTTATATGTTGCTTGTAGGGTCTTTGCACTCTCATACAACTCCACCTTTGGTTATTAACAATGCATTAATAATGTTGTATCTTCTTGCCAGCTTACATTTTATTTGTATAATTATCACATACTTAGGCCCTGTCTTGCCTTCCATATCTCTTGTATTTTTAGTTTCTTGATTGCCCTGCAACTTCAGTTTCTATTGAGTTTATGATAAGTTTTAGATAATACAGTTTTCACCTTTGTTTTTGTAAAAGTAAAGGAAATGTTGTTTTTTCCTCTTTTAATGACTGAGCTAGGACAAAAAGGGAAGGTGCCATTTTAAAACTAGAGAGTAAAATATCTGAAATTGAGAATGTACTAGATGGGTTTAAGAATCATCTGGACACTTTGTTGTTGCTGTTGTTGTTAAGTACTGTGAAGTCGGTTCCAACTCATAATGACTCTGCACAGGGTTTCTGAGGCTGCAAATCTTAATGGGAGCAGAATGCCTCGTCTTTCTCCTGTAGAACAGCTGGTAGTTTTGAATTGCTGACCTTGAGGTTAGTAGCCTGATTCGAAACTACTACGCTTCAAGAGTTCCTTTCTGGACACTTTAGAACACAAAATTATTAAACTTTTGTTTAATAATTATGAAATGTTGAACAACCAGAAACATAACTAGGTAAACGTAAGATAAATTATAATTACATAAGTTTTAGTGGGTCATGGTGAAAAGTTTTATTATATATCATTTAAATCTCCACTGGAAAGAAAAAAGAAAGGTCAGGAGCAATATTTAAGGATACAATCCCCACTGATTTTACAGAATTTAAAAAAGGTATCAAGTGGGAGATTCCAATAGTTTTACAATACCCATAAAGGACAAAGGAAAATACACACCAGCATATTAAGAAGTTTATTGTAGTGCTATCAAGTTGGTTCTGACTTATAGTGCCTCTCTATAGGGTGTCTGAGGAGCGGCTGGTGGTTTTGAAATGCCACCTTTCAGATGAACTCAACCTGTGGTCTAGGGCTTAGCCTACAGTACCACACCAACCTGAAATAAATGTTCAAAGTAAAATGTTGAAAGCAGAACTTAAGAAAAGAAAGATTTTAACACAGTAACAAAAAGTAAACATAATACCTGATCAGAAGAATCATTCAAAGTAAGAAGATAGTGGGAAAATAAGTGCCAGAAAAAAAAAAAAAAATCTTCATAACTAAAATAGAAATTAATTGTAATATGAAAGTACAGGATGAGATAAAAGTAATAGGAGGGAATGAAGCACATAGGAAAGGGTAAAGTCATATGTACAAATAACTTAATATTTATCCTTCAAAACAAGAATTCTAAATTCTTAAGAACTTTAAAATATATGTAAAATACATAATAGTGATAGCGCAAAATACTGTTTGGACATAGAGTTAAAATATCCTCAGATTCTTTCAGTATTAGGAAAGTAGTAAAAGTACTAGTTTACCAATAGTCACTGATTTACTTACTGTTTTAAGTGGCCAATAAAAGATTAATAAAAGAATACCCAACTAAACACTATCAGTCAAAAATTTAAACTGAAAAAGTAGTTTGATTATGGCAAGAAAGGAAATAAAAAGAATATGAAACAGATGGCATAATTAGAAAATTAATATTAGGAAGATGGATATAAACCTAAATATATTAATTGCAATATGTATAAATGGACTACACAAGTAACATTGTTAAGTGCTGTCAAGTGTCTTCTGACCCTGTATAGGGTTTCGGGGGCTATAAATCTTTATTGGAGCAGAAAGCCTCATCTTCCATGGAATGGCTGGTGGGATAAAACCGCTGACCTTGTGGATTGCAGTTCAGTGGTTATATAACAGAGCCAGCTTAGGATCCCAAAGAATGGAAGAGGAGTACTAAATAGGCCTACCTTTGTTACCTTTTTGATGCCAGATAAGGATGGAAGCTTAGCCCCTATTGGGTACTCTTGGCACAAGGTGGAATGGGGAAGAAAATGCTGGCAAGCCTGACTTCTCATCACCACACTGATGTTAGATGAGGTTTAAGGCTGAACTCCAAACTGGTTCTCACTAATACTGATTGCGGGTCTAGGAGAAATGGGATTACTGGTTAGCCTTGCACAATCTCATTCAGTCTTGTTGCTGCCAAGTGTGGTTGAGGATTAGCTCCAGACTGGCCCCTCTGCTACACTACCTAGTCATGGTAATTGTAGTTTTTGGCAATTAGGATGTGAACATATCTTTGTGCAGGAAAAATTTGTCCCATTACAGTTGTGTACAGTCTCTCAGTGGTGTAACAGTTTAACACATTTAGCTACTATCAGAAAGGTTGGAGGTTAAAGACCTTTCAGAAGTCCCAATCTATTTCTAAACAATGAGCTTTTGAAACTGTATGGCGCCCAGCTTTATAGGAACACATATAGATCATCATGAGTTGGAGTTAACATGACAGCAACTGGTTGGCTGGTTAGTGTTGTTGAAACTGTTTTTTGCTGAATTTGGCAACCCCCTTCCCTTGGACTTTTGGCTAGAGAGACTAGACTTTTCTTGGAGTTCAATTTTTGCCTCTTGTTGGCCCATAATTGCAGGGTTTTCCAGTGCCTAGTTTAGGATATATGTGAAACAGAAAAAGTCTGAGAATTCTCTGTTCATCATCCCTGAAGTCCTGAGGAGCACCTTCTTACCAATTTTTAGCATATCTGTATTTTGTTTGTTTCTAGTTGTAATGAAGAACCTGGGAAGAATGGGCTATTTCATCTTTGCCAGGATTGAAAATAGCACCTGTTTTTAAACAGTGTGGATAAGGAAAGAGAGAAAGGGAGTGTGTGTGTATGAATTATTTAATCTTTGGAAAACCATAAACACATAATTAATATGTCTGTAATCTCCTCTCCATAAGAAGTATGATTCACATGGTATTTTTTATTTTTTCTCATTTTAGGGTATTGCAAGGGTTATGTCCACATTGAAGAGAGCCACCAGAATAAAGAGAACCATCAGGGGCAAATAATCTTCATCAGTAGCACAACATTGAACAAAGAAGGACAGAAAGCTTTAGAAAAACCATTTAATCTCAGCATAACTCCACTTTTTTCAGGAAAAATACCTTGCACAGGTGACTCATGTGGAATGAGTTTGCCAATTGTTTCTGATTTAATTATTAATGATAAAAACTGTTCTGGAAAGAAGACTGAATACACAAATGTGTGTGAAAACTGGCAACTTGGTATTAAGAATGAAAGAGCCAATAATGGAGATAAATCTTATGTGTGTAATGAAAGCATGACAGCCCTCAATTATAAAACAGACCAGCACCAGACATTTAAAACTGTAGAACAATCTTTTCAATGTAATCAGTTTGGAAAAACCTTGCATGATAAGACTATTTGTACATCTGGGAGTTCTCCCACAGGAGAGAAATCCTATAGACATGATGAGTTTAGGAAAAACTGTGATAAGCCACCTCTGTTTAACCACTTGAGTACTGGCACAAAGCAGGAATGTTCTCATCTTAATGAAAATAGAAAATCTTCTGCAGAAACAACTGTTGTGGAACATCATAACGTTTGCATGGCTCTGAAACCCTATGCACATAATGAAAGTAGGAGTGCTTTCAGCAGGAAGTCACACTTTACTCAGACTCAGAGAACTATCATAGGACAGAGAGTCTTTCAAAGTAATAAACGTGAAGAAAATTTCAGGCAGAGCTCAGCCCTTATTGTACACCAGAAATCACAAACTGAAGATAAATTCTGTAAATGTAATGACTGTATGAATGCTGTATACCAGAAACTAGACCTAACACTACATCTAGGAACTTACACAGAAGAGAGCTCCTACAAATGTGAATATGAGAAATCTTTTTCTCAGAACACAGACCTCATTGGCTGCCAGCATAGTGACACAGGACAGAAGTCATTAAAATGTAATGAAAGCAGGAAATCCTTCTGTCAGAAAATACAGCTCATTCAGCAGCAGAGAATCCATTCAGGAGAGAAACCATATGAATATGATGAATGTGATAAATCTCTTTGTTCAGAATCACACCCTATTCAACAGCCTGCAACACATGTGGTGAAACTCAGATGGAGTAAAGATGGAGAAAGTTTCTGTCAGAAATCAGACGTCAGTGAACATCTAAGAAAGTTCACAAAAGAAAAGCATTATTTATACAGTGAATTTGGGAAATCTTTCAAGAAGTCAGCTCTGAAAATAAACCAGAGAACACACACAGAGATAAAATTATATCAAGGTAATGAGTGTGAGAAAATATTTGCTAAGATATCACATCTCAGAGAATATCAGAGAGTTCACACAGGGAAGAAACCTTATGAATGTCATGAATGTGGGAAAACTTTCTTCCAAAAGACACACCTCATTGTACATCAGAGAATCCATACAGGGGAGAAACCCTATGAATGTAGTGAATGTGGGAAAATGTTTGCTGATAATTCAACCCTTGGAGCACATCAGAGAATTCACACAGGGGAGAAACCTTATAAATGCCATGAATGTGGGAAAACTTTCTCCCACAGGACGCAGCTCATTGCACATCAGAGAGTTCATACAGGAGAGAAACCCTATGAATGTAATGAATGTGCAAAAACATTTGCTGATTATTCAACACTCAGAGCACATTATAGAATTCATACAGGGGAGAAACCATATGAATGTAATGAATGTGGAAAAGCTTTTGCCCAAAATTCAACTCTCAGAGTACACCAGAGAACACACACAGGAGAGAAACCCTATAAATGTAATGCCTGTGGGAGATTCTTTGCTCACAATTCAGCCCTTAGAGTGCATAAGAGAATTCACACAGGTGAGAAACCATATGAATGTAGTGACTGTGAGAAAACGTTTGCCCATAACTCAGCTCTCAGAGTACATCAGAGAATTCACATGGTGAAGAAACCCTATGATTATACTGATTGTGAGGAAACTTTTCCTCATAATTCAGCCCTCAGAGCACATCAGAAAATTCACACAGGGGAGAAACTCTATGAGTGTAATGAATGTGGGAAAACTTTTTCCCAGAAGACACACCTTAATACCCACCATAGAATTCACACAGGGGAGAAACCCTATGAATGCAATGAATGTGGAAAAACTTTCTCTCAGAAATCGTATCTCAGTGGACATGAGAGAATTCATACAGGGGAAAAGCCCTATGAATGTAATGAATGTGGGAAAACATTTGTCTATAAGGCAGCCCTCATAGTGCATCAGAGGATTCACACAGGGGAGAAACCTTATGGATGTAATGAGTGTGGCAAAACTTTCTCGCAAAGGACACACCTCTGTGCACATCAGAGAATTCATACAGGAGAAAAACCCTATGGGTGTAATGAATGTGGGAAAACTTTTGCTGACAAATCAGCCCTCAGAGCACATCAGAGAATTCACACAGGGGAGAAACCTTATGGATGTAATGAGTGTGGCAAAACTTTCTCAAAGATGTCACACCTCACAGCACATCTGAGAATTCGCACAGGGGAGAAACCCTATAAATGTAATGAGTGTGGGAAAACTTTCTCTCAGAAGTCATACATTAGTGCACATCAGAGAATTCACACGGGGGAAAAACCCTATGAATGTAATATATGTGGAAAACCTTTTGGCCATAATTCAACCCTCAGAGTACATCAAAGAATTCACACAGGGGTAAAATCCTATGAATGCAATGAATGTAGGAAAACTTTTTCCCAGAAGTCACACCTCAGTGCACACCTGAGAATTCACACAGGGGAGAAGCCCTATGAATGTAATGAATGTGGGAAAGCCTTTGCCCAAAATTCAACTCTGAGAGTGCACCAAAAAATTCACACTGGTGAGAAACCTTATGAATGTAATGAATGTGGGAAAACTTTTGTCCGGAAGGCAGCTCTTAGAATACATCACACCAGAATTCACACCAGAGAGAAAACCCTTGAATGTAATGCAGGGGAAGGTTTTGCTAGCTAACCCACACAGTGTAGAAATCCATGTCACTTAAACTGGGAAATGTTCTTAACTATTTCCTTTTCCATTAGATACATAAACCCCACACCAGCTGCCATCAAGTTGATTCTGACTTAGTGATCCTGCATAGGGTTTCTGAGGCTATAAATCTTTATGGAAACAGACAGCCTCATCTTTGTCCTGTGGAGCAGCTAGTGAATTTGAATTCCCAACCGTGAGGTTAGTAGTCCTTTGCTTGTCCTTCATTGACACAATAGGTTATTTTAATTTTCCACTCTTGTTCATCCAGGCTGGTAGGTAATGGAATGTGAATATTCCTTACATGTATCACATTTTGTCCTGGCCTTTAAAAACTTACCTCACATTCACCCTGAGAAGACTGAAGCTGTTGTTCTGTTTGTCAATTGGTCAAAAGTTTAGTGAATTCTGATGAAGTGGAATGAAGCCCTGTGAATATAATCAATGTTTGAGGGTTTGTGAGAATTCAATCACAGTACATCAGAAACTCCACAGAGGAAAGTACTGTCCGCAGTCAGAAGTCTTGGGAAAAACAAGAAAGCCTTTTTTGTAAAGTGAATTTCATTGAACATCAAATAATTAAGATTACTCTAAAATCTTATTTTGAGTGTCATTTAAAACATTCAAAGTTTATTTTGTGCCAGATACATTTTTCTGAGACAGGTTTTCAGTTTTAGAATTATGCATACAAATGTCATCTGAAGATGATAGTCCAAAATTCATGTTTTTTTTTTAACATCTAAAATGTTATAGAAAAGTATATAAAAGTTTATAGGCAAGCTCAGTGAGGAATGTGTAGTTTTTAAATGAATGAATAGCAAATTTTGTGAATATTATCAATAAATGTGTTTGTGAATGGTCTCTGAGCTGTGTAATGCCTGTATGCCAGATTATTTATTTTTACTGATGAATTCTTAACAGGCAGCAGTTAGTCCTGCTTTGTTGTTAAGTGCCATCAAGTTGGTTCCGACTCATAGCAATCTTGTGTAGAGTTTCCAAGGAGGGATTGGTGAGTTAGAACCACTGACCTTGCGATTCAAATGACCTTATGGTCCAGTACATTATCCCACAGTGCCACGTCAGGACTCCCTGCCCAATTTCCTTTTCTGAGTGACTTTGTTTAACATTGATTGGTGGAACCAACTCCATAGCACTTAACAACAGTTGGTTTTTCTCACTTTGGAACTGTTGGATTTGGGTCAGCTTGCTGTGTCTGAGTATTGGTCTGCCTTTGTTTTTCTAGAAATGTAGAGATCTGTATATTTCCCAACAAGTTTATGCATTTCTCTCTGTTTTTGAATGTTCATTCTCACGTGTTTTTGATTTCCATTTTACCCCAGTCTGCTGGTTCATGTTGGACCGAGTCACTTATAAAACAAGGCATCTCGTACCCTCTAGTATGCATATGGCATGAGCATCCTCTCTAGGTTCTTTCTCAAATATCAGGGAACCTCTCACATTGTGCTTGTTTTTAGATGCTATTAATAAAGTTGGTTCCAGCTCATAGTGACCCTATGCACGACAGAATGAAACTCTGTCCGATCCTGCACCAACCTCACATTTGTTACTATGCTTGAGCCTATTGCTACTGCCACTGTGGCAATCCATCTTATTGGAGGTTTCCCTCTTTTTCACTGATCCTCTATTTTACTAAGCTTGATGTCCTTCTCCAGGGACTGGTCTCTCTTAATAACATGCCTAAAGTATGAGAAATGAAGTGTGCAGTATGGTATTGTTATCTTGTTAGGACAGCACATTTTGGAATGACAAAGAAAATTATTTAATGATAGAAATGAAACACTGGTACTGAAAGTCTTTACTTTTGGGAAAACAGTGTAGTGCAGTATATAGTCTTAACTGGACTCCTGATTTGGCACTGTAGGATAAGCACAGGACTGTGAACCATAGGGTTGGCAGTTCAAACCCATCAAGTACTTACTTCTTGGAAACCCTATACAGTGTTGCTATGAGTTGGAACCAACCTGACAGCACTTAACAACAACAACAACAACAACATAGTCTTAGCCAAGAAAACATTTTGTCACTTTGTTTTTATTTCAGTTTACTAGATGCTGTTAGCACAGAGAAGAAAGTAAGGAAAAACATCATTTAAAAACCCTGGACCATTAATAATTTTCAACCATAAACATATTGATTCCTATATACTTTATCTAGAAATTACTATATTCATATTTATCTAAGGAGCTGTGGTAGCAAGCTGTGCTGCTAACTGCAAGGTCAGCAGTTCAAATCTACTAGCCACTCCACGAGAGAAATATGAGGCTTTCTGCTTCCATACAGCCTTGGATGGAAACCCTATACAGAGTCTCTATGAGTTGGAACAGACTCAACGGCACTGAACAGCAAATGTAAACTAGTTTTGGAGGGAGTAACTTCTGGAGATTATAGTTGGAGTGAGACCCTCATGCTTTACTGTATCTCCAGAAACCCCACCAGGGCTTAACTGTGGAGAGCTGTTAATCTTGTGGTTCTGATAGGATACAAAGGGTAATCATGAAAAACACCCAGAGCCTTCTTTATAATAAAGGTCCACTGCTCAGTAAAACAGATTACCAGTACTCTTCCTAGCAAGGGAAAGAGGAATTCTTTCCACTTTTTAAGGAAAGTGGAGAAAAGCATAGTCAATAGGGGTCAGGGTTGATAGTGAATACCTGTGAAATTAGTAATGTAAAGGAGAAAAACATTTCACTAGAGAAAGGCTAGAAATGGTTTTGAAGTTGAAGTCAGGCACAGGTGAATTATAAGAGTTAATTGGTAGATTATAGAGACTTCTATATCCTTGGTATTAGTGAGATTAATCGTCAGAAAAACATTTCAAGATCTGTCTTGAAGTACATCACTGTGATAGGGTAATATCCACATGTCTACAAGGAAGACCAGTTAATACAGATATTATCAAAAGCTAGTGATAATGAAATTGAAGAATTCTGCCAATTTCTTCAATCTGAAATTGATCAAACTTGCAAACAAGATGTATTGATGATTACTGACATTTGGAATGCAAAAACTGGAAGCAAAGAGGAAGGATCAGTAGTTGGAAAATATGACCTTGGTGATAGAAACGATGCTGGAGATAGAATTTTACAAGATTAATAATTTCTTCAGAACAAATGCCTTTTTAAAACAACATAAAATGTGACTATACACTTGGATCTCACCAGATGTAAAACACAGAAATAAAATTGACTACATAAGTGGAAAGAGACAGTGGAAAACTCCATATTATCAGCCAAAACAAGGCCAAGAGCAGACTGTGGAACAGACCATCAGTTGCTCATATGCAAGTTCAGATTTAAAGTGAAAAAAATTAAAACAAGTCTGTGGTGGTTGTGGTTATGTGCCGTGGAATTGGTTCCGACTCATAGCAACTCTGTATAGGTTTCTAAGGCTGTATATCTTTATGGGAGCAGAAAGTCCCACATATTGTCCCACAGAATGTGTGGTAGTTTCAAACTTATGATATCTATAAGAGCCAAAATATGACCTTGATTATGTCCCATTTGAATTTATAGATCATCTGAAGAGCAGATTTCATGGATTAGACACTAATGACCAAAAGAGTTATGGGATGACATTAAGATCATACAAGAAAGCAAAAGGTCATAAAGAGCCGGAAGGTCAGCATCTGGAAGGGTCAGTGGTACTCAGTCTCCCTGTGGTTACTGAGGGGTAACGGCCCAACAGACAAACCCGGGCTAAGGGGTGGGAAAGCAGATGGGCAGGGAGCTGCGACACCATGGAGGGTGGCGGGGGAAGCGGTATAAAACCACAGGGGGGTTGGCTGGCTTTTTTGGAGCTGCCAGAGCAGGTTACTTGCGCATGGATTTGGCCAGCGTACCAGTAACTGGTATGAACCCTCTGTCTCATTTAAATGTGGATCCTCATATCTTGTGCAGGATACAGATGAATTTACCAACTGGCACTAATAAAACCTGGGGCAGATTTGAACTAGTTTTTTTTTTTTTTTACCATAGGAGGATGTTACATGACAGGGGCTGCATTTGGGGCTATGAATGGCCTACGACTGGGATTGAAGGAAACCTAGAACATGGCCTGGTCCAAACCAAGAAATGTATAGATTTTGAATAGGGTGACCAGACAAGGGGTACTTGGGCTAATATTCTAGGTTCTCTGGCTTTGCTCTATAGTGCTTTTGGTGTGGTCATTAAGAAAATGCGAGGTACAGAAGATGACCTTAATACAATCCGTAACCATGACAGGCATGTTGTATAAATGCACAGGTGGTCTTCAGGGGGGTTCTACGAGGTGGTATATAGCAGGACTAACATTTACTAGCCTCTATGGAGTCCTGGTGTGGCGCTGTGGGCTAATGTGTCAGACTGCAAAGTCATTTGAACTGCAAGTTCGGTGGTTCAAGCTCACCAGTTGCTCCTTGGAAACCCTATACAGGGTTACTATGGGTCGGAATTGACTCGACAGCACTTAACAACAACAACAGCAAAAATGCACTATATAATAACTGGGAGCAACATGAAAGACTCCTTGATTCAGCAGTCCCTCTGAATATTTTGACAACTTGTGAATGGAGGATACTTTTTGTAGTCATCTGAACAACTATAAGTCAGTCTGGAGTTGTTGTCTCTTCTACCTACAGTAAGTGTAAAAAGTTGGAGATTCTGTTTTGCCGTGATGAAGAGTATCGATGGTTATCAGGACTGGCATTTCTAGCTGTGAGTGAGGAGGAGTCAAACTTCTTTGAAGGTTCACTGGGTCATATGGTTCTCTTCTCCTTTGGAGACTTTGCACATAATGCCCCTTAAACTAAAACTGCAGAATTCAGGCCATGCTTGTTGTCAGTACTGTATCACCAAGTTTGTTGATTTAATGATTCTAAACTGTAATGTTCCTCTGTATTCCCAATAAAGGATGTTCCAACAAAACATAAAAAAAAAAAAAAAAGGTCATTAAGAATACAAAGAAAAAAGAAAAGACAAAAATGGATA